AACCAAAACCAAAACCACATCGATATCTCCTCCCTAGACCAGGCTAGTCTCTCCTCCTCCAGTTCTAACGATCAAAAAGGTGGAATTTTGCGTGTCCGAAAGAAGCGAAGCAAGTATTGATTGATTATGGCAATCGATCCGTAACAGAGAAGGAGAATCCAAGGTAAAAGGAAAGTCTTTGAAGGAAGTGAGATAGAAGGGGATATGGTGTGATGAAGGTGGGGAAGAAGGAGAAGAAGGAAGAGGGTGAAGATGGCGCGAGAAGGGAGAGGAAAGTGGGGTATTGGTTTGGGTTCTGGGCTATGCTCCTACAAGAGAACCACTCTCGTTGTTTGCTCCGTCAACATTGTTATAGCCCTTTATGTTCTTCGTTCTTTCTATGCTTCTCTCTATCTCTATTCCAATAACTTTAATGGTATGGTTTCTTTTTTGCGCTTTATCGATTGATTTTCAATATCATTTTTGTTTTTTGATCATGGGGTTTGTTGATTTTTTTTCTGGGTTTTGTTTATATTTAGTTGTAAAGTACTCCCCGGAGCAGATAAAGAAAATGGAAGAATCAATCCGGATTCGGAGAGCCAGTGAACCCATAGAGCTTCTTAAATTGGTATGATTATTAAACTCTGGGATCTACTTTGATGGTTTAAGTTGTTTTTATTGCTTTGCTATAAGCTTCTGATGGTGATATTGTTGCTCTTTCCAATAGGTAAAGCAACTAAAGCACGAGCTTTCCGAAGCAAACTCAGGGGTTGAATTGCCACAGGTGGTTAAGCAAAGGATAACTGATGAGGTTCTGCAGAGGCTGAGAGCCTTGAGACCAAATGCCAATATGAGTGAGCAGCGAGGTGGGGGCATTTTTATAGGTTCAGTCCATTCTATTTATTTAGCTAAAGTTCCAATCTTATTGTATGCTTTAGTTAGTAAGAACTGTTATGTCAGAACTAGTCTAGTAGATTATGCTTCAATGTTTGAAGTTTAGCATTTGATTATGCTGGTTTATGCAATTTGTCTCAAATTTTAACTGGCAATCCAAAGGCTGGATCTGGTTTCTGCAATGTGTAGCAATTAATGAAATAGATGCACTCATTTACTATTTGAAACAATTTGAAGTTAGAAGTAAGCTTTGAATGCATAATTGGATTGGTTTGTTCCTGATGGAGGGAAGAATCTAGGTTTTAGCTGAAGGTTGTGATTAACTTGTTCATGTATTTGGATTTTGGATTGAATATGGTGCTTGACTTGTTGAAATTTCTGGTGCTCAGTTCTTCTATATTGGGTTTCTTGACTGAACAAAGTTCTTAATCCATTTCTGGATCTATGCAAAAAGAAGGTCAGGGTACACATTGGTATCAGCTCATGTATTTAAATGCTTAGTTCTCTTTTAGAAAAAGCTAGAGATTAATGATTTTAGGCTACACACTCATTTTGCCATATTCACCTTTTACTTCTGCATTTCACCTTCTCCCCTTTTGAAAGATGATTTTAGAGTTCTGTTTTTGCTGAATCTTTTCTGGTTCATTTTGTGCCTAACCTTTTCTGTAGCTAGGCTATGGTTTTAGAGTTATAAGAATCTATATATATAAGAGTGCAGTGCAGATGGTGTGTTCCACACATCTAATTACAAAGAAGACAAAATATACTTTTTCCTACTTTCTTTGAGGGTGGTAAATGATGCCTTTTCCTCTTTGTCATGGTGATGAGCTCCAGATTGTTAGTTCTTCACTATTCATTTCTTTAATATTTGGATTACTTGCATTTTTTACTTGATGTTTTTTATTCTTGAACTGAAAAAATGAACCTTCTGAGTTTTCAAAGGCTGCTTGTTAGGTCCCTTGTTCCATTCTTGTTTCCTTATTGAAAAAGGCAGCTCAGTGATTCTATTTTTTCCCTTTTGGTAAGACCTAAAACTGGTTTCCTGTGGATGGTTGTTATGAAAAGGATAAGAACCAGTTCCTAGCTATGCCAGGTTGTTCATTCATTTCTTATAAAAACTTTATCTTTTGCTGGAACATTAATAGCCATATCTAATCCAGAGCAGAGTCTTGCCAGAGAATATCAGTGCTTCTCCCTCCTTCCATCCCTCCAAGCACGCTCTTTTCTGTTACTTTTTCAATTGATAACTTTTTTGTCACCTTCATTCTGAAGAATGTGATGTTTTAGTAGGTGTTCTACCATGTCTCAAGGAATATTGTGGTTGAATTGCAGGGGATATTTATCAGTTGTTTTTGGAAGTATTTATTAACTTGAAGACAATGCCAATATCAATTTTGAGGAAAATTAATTCGCCCTATCTCATAGTGCCACACTAATGAGTTTATTCTGTATGCTTTGTTTTCCTAGTTATTTACTGGCATTCTTCTTTTGATAAACAGAAGCAGTTGAAAGCTGGCGCAAGGAGAAACTTGAAGATGCCAAAAAATTGCTTGGAATGGAGGGCTCAAATTCAACACTTTTGCAAGAGGAAGCTGGTAACTTTCTATGTCACAGGCCGCCACAC